CGTAGTTGGACAACTTGCGGTCTCTCGTAGTTTGGGCGACCGACATTTGCGAAAATATGTGACAGCAGAGCCTTCTGTCTTTCATATCAAACTTGGCGAGCACTTCTCGAATGGTTTATTAATAATTGCTAGCGACGGATTATGGGAAACGATGAGTAATGATGACGTCGTGCGCTTTCTAGCCGAAAGATTAAATTACGGGGCTGCGGAAGACGGACGTGCCTCATTGAATGACATTGCGATCGATTTGATTACCGAAAGTTATGTCCGAGGAAGTCTCGATAACATAGCTGTAGTTCTCAAAGCGTTGCCGTAATTCGAATGAGATTTATTCAAGAAATATCTCATCAAAAAGTTAAGTATTATATCTAATCACCAAAGCGTCGGGCTTGTTGACCGTATTGAAATAGTACCTTAATAACTCGATCAATAGATGGAACGAGTACGTCAGCACTCTCAGCAAGATCATCGAGTGATGATGCACCTCCAAGCACCCCAACAGACAGACCGCATCCAGCATTTCTACCCAGTAACATATCAGTGGACGTGTCACCCACCATAATAGTATTATGTGGCTCGACATTAAGCTGTTGGCAAATAGTCCAGATCTGTTCACCGGCGGGTTTAGCAGGAAGTCCATCGTCGCCACAGGCTAGAGCATCGACCATATCAATGACGTCCAGATGCTTCAGCGTGTCGATTGTAGGCTGTCGATCGTCTGTTGTACACACTGCAATTTTCATATCCATTTTTCTTATCGTGCGAAAGAGAGCAGGAATGTTAGTAAGTGGGCGACTAGTAAGCACTGGATCTGGCATACTCCAGCAGTGCTGAATGATCTCATCTGCTTTTTGCTGAAGCATTCCTTCGGCTACTAACACACGTACAGCGAGTTTATAGAGTTCTCCCATTGGGGTGCAACAGAGAGCACCTTTCGACTTGATTGAACGACTAATCCAGTCATAGCCCATAGCGGCAAAGAGCTTTTCACGAACGGGTAGACCGGTGGTCATCTCGACCTTCCACGCTTGAGACTCTACCCAACCGCCCCACATGAGTGTAAAATCAATGAGTGTTCCATCCTTATCGAAAACGACAAGTCCTGGGCTACAACGTGGACCTCGTGTAGCTTCAGCATGGCCGACAGAGCTCGCAAATCGTCGATTCAGCGCCGAAGCTAACAGACCATTTGCTCGATTTGATGGCATACCATGGAGTTGACGGATTCTGCAGACTAGAAACATGTTGAGCAGAGACACAGGGTAAATCTCAGGATGGGAATGCCATCATTTTTGTGTGAAAAAGATTTTCACAGCGAAAATTTAAGTAATAATTTATTAAAAGCTTAAGGCCTCTCTCGTCTTTTATAAAGACAACTGAAGGAAATACACGTGAGGTGTCTAGAATACTAACACGTTTTGTTAGCGTCAAGAAGATGTTCCTACTGCTCCGGTAACCTGATAACTTTGTTAACACCTAACTTTTGCCTTCTGCACGCGGGTTTGGGTATAAAGTAATCAGTTCAAAACGCAATCTACGCCTTTGTTGCGAGGTTACTTTTCTCTCTTTTTGGGTGCAACCATCCACATGTTAAATCGTCAGAGGTACGTCAAGCACATTAAACACATGATTTGTCGTCACTCCTGCATATAGCAGGTGGTATTGATGACACGCAGCAGGCTGTTTTCTCTATCAAACTTTAGGTGCTGCAACCTTGATGATGATATATTCCTACTATCTTATTGGATATAAGTACTCATTCAAAGCTAAGTCTAAAAACTTCGGTGGACTTTATCCGCGACTTAAATCATATGCTGTATTCTCCCTAAGGTGCTACGCCACCAATCCACATGCCTTACAACCTCGAGCGACCAATTCCCTAGCTCTTGTCTTGTTAACATTGCTATTTGATCATTTTAATGACTTTTTTATCCAGAACTCATTAAAAACATGTAATTTATAGTATATCATTGTTTAGAGCAGAAAAATTACCTTTACGTTAGGAAGTAATTTAAATGTTTACCTTATACATCGGGAGAAGAATGAGTGTTACTGGCCGATCTAAAGTGCAGGGGTAACTTCACCAGTCTAGGTCAAAGGTAAATGGCTTGTTTACCGGTCCGATTACTTCTTTTGTGGACTAGCCTGGCTGACAAGAAAAACTGATGGGAATGGAAGCAGCTGTACTGGATCATTTGTGTAATGCCATCTACACATTTACAGTTTTCTTTGAGGTTTCCTACGGAATCATTGAATTGGTTGGCACCGTGTTTGTATAAACAGATGCTATAGCAAGCAAAAGCCGTACGCGACGCCCTCTTTGAGTAAATATTGTCGATCAATTACTAGCGCCACAAGGATAACACACAATATGGAAATGAAAGCTGGCAATCAGCAGATGAGAAACAGTCTATCGCGGGAATCAGCTGCTCGAGTTTCAAGCACCTTTCCGTCATTTCGTGAAGTTCAAAAATGTCCCTTGAGTATAAAAGTGCACTCAGTTGTTTTGCATAGCTTGCAATCGCAGTCATGCAGTTGAGCTCGCTGTCAATTCACCGTCGTAATTGGATGCACTAATCTCCTCATAATGTAGTCCTTACATAATTTCGTTTGGCTTACCGCTCAACGTAATTTCTCGTTCATATTTATAAGATCTAACTAATTGTGGGGTTAAAATCCATCCTAATTATTTTCTTAAGAAACACATCCGATTTTTGGTCTAGATAACATTTTGAGCGAATAAAAATAGAGCACTGTTGTGTGAGGTTCAATTCTAAAAGGAATTGTATCCCAGCCCGAGGTGATAGGAATAGGCGCTGCATTGTGTATTAGCCACTCTGTTTCTCACACGAATGTTGCTTTTGGGTGGGAGAGTGCGTGAGTGAGAGTATAGATAAAGCAGCAATATTATTGTGAATGCGTTTCGAAGCTTGTTTTCTAGTCGATGACGATGCAACGTAAGGTAGATCTGCCTTACAAATATGCCAGAGCAAAGGTCTGAATGCCTCCATAAATCAGATGATCTGCACAGATTCTATTTTCTATGCAGGATGGAAAGACTTGAAAAAGACTACACACCTGGTCGCTATTACGCATCTAATCTCACTTCTACGTATATGAGACAAATTGGAAAGGATGAGTAGCAACAGTAGCAAACCAGATAGCGGGCCCAAGCAAATAACGAAATTTAGTGCATTCTGCTTGCTGTTACATTGTACGAATAATGTAACCTCCACGTGATGGGAATATTTGAAAGTTAGTTTTCAATTTTCAGTATTATACTCCACAAGTAGGAATTTGTGATCAAAATAGTTTTTGAAAGATGCGTGGAGTCAGTCACCCTGAGACAGATAATAATATTTTAAGATACTGGGATTGGATATGAGGTTTATTATGCTTTCTTATCGTTTGCAACTTGCTTGCTTCCCATATGAAAGTACTGAGTGGGATATTTTGATCTTGCTGTAAGCGACTTAGAATCGAAAATAGAATCGTATTGAAGAAGCTAGAAAAGACGGGTTGCGTTGTTCTTAAACCTATGTTTTGCTTAAGAGAAATAACTACCAAGATTTGCGCTTACTTGAATTCCTAAGTTCCAGATTTCTTAATGACTTAAGGGAAATTCCTCTACTGCAGTCAGACGAGCCAGCGATGTGTAATTTTCTCAAAATGAGCTGTTGCTCGTCCTTATCGTATATAATCTTCGTGATAAACACATAGAATCAGATTTTGAGACTGTCGTATAAGAACGATAGGTTAGTAACTCAAGGAATTGTATAAACCAAAAGTTTTGTGCTGTAAAACCTTCCATCATTAGAAACAAAATTGCCATTCCGTAGATGGATCTGTTTTGTACATATTATTACTTATGGCTGAACGACAAAAACAGTTGAATAATATTTGAAGCTCAGAAAGCGATGGGCACAGACAAGAGCCGCGCCATACGAAAACGTGATTTGCTCGACGTTTTATCATCCATCTGAGTCGAGTCTTCCCTCATGGCGCATCATCCACCACTCGACTCTTCTTTGCACATCCATGCTGGAAGTGTCTCGATACGATTTGTCCAACGTCGCTTTGAAAGAAGAGAGCAGAAGCGCAGCAGGATTTGGTGTGTGGTCTAGAAGAGCCATAGCAATAACATGTTCGACGACAAAAGTAACGTGTATAACGGTCATGGTCATAATTCAATTTGACTTGGTACTGAAACTCAAGTCAATCATTTACACTATGCGTGCGACACATTCAACTTCGACGACATTTTCCCCACCTATGGCTAATAGCTCTTCAAAATCCGTTCAGTGTGCTTCTCCACGCAAGCGCAAGCTCAGTGAGTCCACAGTCAATTCCCCAGTGTCGTTCAATGAAGCTTTTGGCTGCAGCCCGACAGAGCGAGTAATTTCACCAAAGAAGAAGGTAAAACCTGAAGAATACGCTATTAACGGATCAAACAAATGGGAGAATTACACTGCTGCCAACATCGCGTACGCGCTGGATTGCTTGAATGCCGACAATAATTACAATAGCTTCAGCGGCATTGAAGTCGAGCCTATTGCATTTCAAGAAACACAAGATGGCGACCTTACCACGGATGAGCTTCAGATACTGCAGTATTTTCTCGCTTGAATGCGATGACTGTCATAACCAGGCTGAAGCAGCTTCTTGTCATGTCAGTAGCTGCTTCAGTCATACTCAGGTAGCCTTTCAAGGCATTGCAGCGACAAATTCGTCTGAGATTCCAGCCATATTGCAGCCGCAGAAACACCAGTTGTCACGTATCTCATGGTACGAGCAGTCTGCACTGACATCGTCGAGAACTTTCACAGTATACGTTAAGTTATTTGATGTGCGCGATATGCCAAAAGTATGTCTACAATTGTGTGCAAATGAGACGAGTATTCGCCTTAGCTGCAATATAATGAATGACAAATATATGTCGTTGTGGTCAGTAACGAAGGTTTTCTTAATGAATTCTCTCTATTCCGAACAATAATACTTACTTGACACATCGATTCACCAAAGAGAGTGTAATGAATGTTCTAAATTTTGTCGTAATGATACACGGCTACTGGAACTTCAAAGTGATTTTCACTCGCTCAGGTACTTAGTTCACGAGTCCATTAAAAAATGCTTCTAAGTAGTTCCAGGAAACGTAAGCTGGATTCTAGACTACTAATCATTTTGATAGATGCAACGAATGAATAACCAAGAAGTTTATAACGAAGGTAGAGTCTGACACGGTTGACAGCGAGGTTAAACATGACTGCAATTACAAGCTATTGCACTTGACATACTTAGGAAAACTGTAGAAGCTCATGAAATGACGAGAAGGTGATTGAAACGCTGGCAGCCAAATCCTACGACAGACTGTTTATCACCTGCCGATTGCTGCGCTTACGTTTGCAATGTCAATGCAAGGACGAGTATGTCGTGTATCCATATGGCGCTTGTAATTTCCCGAGGTATTTCCTTTCAAGCAGGCGCTTTCGCCAGCGGTAGCATGTGTGGGTTGCAAGCATGGTACTTTTGAAAACTGTAATTTTGTCAAAGACCTCAAAGAAGTCCATCGATGTGTAGATGTAATTTCCATCAAACCTAAAAGTAAATCGACAGTTAAATCATCAACAGTCATCAAAGTTTGTTGCTGTCGAATTACTAAGTATCTTTATTAAGAGCAAAATTAATGCCTTGGTGTTGACAAGTCTCGATCGAAACTTACGCCTCACTTTGATGACAGCTGTGGAGACGTTTTATACTGCGATCTTGTGCACCTACACCATACACTTTTGCATACATCATTATCTTAAAGCTGTACAAAATTCACATTGCACTTTGTTGTGAATGCGAGCGTCAAATTGTCGGTATTTTAAAAAAGGGGCAAGTGGTGTACTCATCGCGTGCAATGTGTTGAGTAAACCACTTCTACTCAACCCTTCCACATTTGGTACGATTGCATCAAATAGAACGTGGGAATCATGTAGCTGTAAAATATTTCATTTGGTATTCATCATCGGTATTCACAAGATGATAGAACTCTGAGAGGATGAGTTTGTAGTATACGTGGACTGCTAGCCGTACCAATTCTCATATTTATTGATTGACAAAGGCAGTTTTCTAACGAGGTTCAGTGAAACGTATATGTTTAGGATTTGCTCATATAGAGATTATTTATTTAAAGGCTGTCAGTTTCGCTTCTGGTGGACCCAGCCTCTGTGCATTGACTAACGCGAATCTAAGAGTCAAAGTGCACGGCAAACTCGTTGCGCTTTGCAGCAGTAATTATCAATCTCACATTTGAGCCCTGAAAGAACTGTATCATCTGCGTGGATGGATCATGTTCCCGAGACAGATAAACCGACTCGTATCTATCAAGAGATCACAAAGCTGACAGACAAAGGTCTAAAAGCGGGTAATCTCTCGCCTGGAGGGTCTCACTAGAGACAGTCGAAGAAGCTGCGACTTTCTTAAAGGGGTGCAGATTGCAATTGAGAACGTTGACTGTTGTTATCAAGGTCTTAAAGCGGTAATTAGCCCTAAATAAATCACGGGTGGTGTGCAATGAACGTGCGATGCGCGACTATTAAAACCAGTCTTTAGTATGCGAAGACATTAGAAATGTCATACATGAGTACGATACCTGTTTGTTTCGCGACTAAGGAGCAAATATAAGATTTAAAGGTTATCTTATACCTTGATATGACGTTTGAAGACTATAGCAGCGTGAAACGTCGTCTAGTCCAGGGACTCAAGATACAATGTTAGGCTAGGAATGGCGTGGGTGGAACGCTATAAATAATGGATCAACTGGAAGTAAAAAATCCAATTGCTGCGTTTGCCTATGAAGTGGGCTTAGCGGCTTATATATCCACCTTAGTCAGGAAGCAGAAGCTCTTTTGGCGCGAACACGAAGCTGTTGGATAGAAGCTGGATTGTGCAACTTTAATAGCGCTGGTCTTGCTAGAATAGCTCGAAAAGTAGAACCAATAATGAGCCGCGATCTCAGAATGGGTTGAAAAAGTACGATAGTGTCCAAATCGCATCTCCAGTTGGACGAAAGAAAAGTTAGCTGTGAGCTATCGCCTCTTGTGCCAGGTTCACTGAGGAGTCTTCCATGCTAGAGCCAGTATTATGAAAAGCGACCGTGTGTCGCGAGTTGAATGTCCAAGTCCTGAAGATGACAAGGATACTCATCCTTATCAGGGTCTATTGAGTCAGCGATTCCATGCCATAGTGTAACCGGCAAGGATACAGTCGGCGAACCCACCGTGTCAGGTAGCGAGAACATGAGTAAGTATCGAGAAAGATTATCCACCCGTCCTTAGAGTGACCAAGGGGCTATAATACACACTATTCCTAGAAGGACAAGAATGGACCATTACTGGTAACTTCAAGGCCTGGTCGTCCTTTTGCGACGAACTGACACCTGTTTTCACGGCATTAGCACACGAGATTGTGACACACTTGTAACCCTTTCTCGTCCGTTCTAGAAGACACCAGATTTTTAACCGAGCGCCCGGCCAACGTTACACTCTAATGCAAGGAAATACCACGGAACGGTAACCAAGATGGTAAGAGTAATTTCGGAAAAAGAGCTGACCTTGTGAGGTTGGTCTTGGACACAATCGTGGAGTACAGAGTGCGAGTAGAAGGACATATATCATCAAAATTCAACAAATACTTCATACATCTGTTGATGGAGAATCCAGACGTGAAGACAAGAGGTCCTTGATGCGGGTAGATACAAGAGTAGGGTGGCGCTCATGAAATTAAGTTGAATTGGCAATAGCTTTTTTGAAAAACTATGACACACAATTGACTCTTTCTTCCTTGCAAAACACGAAATATGTTTGGTGAGTGAGAAAAGCGCACCAATCGGCGCCGACTTCGATTTTGAAAAGGCCAGCGAGCAAGCAGAGAATTCTGCAACATTTGAATAAGCTTGATACATCTGCGATATTGACACCATCAGCAACATCCAAATCGAATGTCGTGCAGAATAAACAGCAAGCACAATACTTTAGTGCTCATGATTTGTTGATAAATATCGTGAACTATATGTGATATTCCACCTACTAAACCCTCGGTCAGTACGATGGATTTTATCAGCTGCTGATGTGCGACAGGGATTTCCCTCCTCTTGCGGTGAGCACTGGTGCTACCATGCAGACTGTCGATTTAGTCAGCAACGTTTAGTCGACGGATGGCGTATTTGTTCTGGTCTTATCGTGACTAAACATCAACAGTTCTGTCAGTATAATCGACCAAACTCGTGCAGACCAGGAGAAGTCGAATGTGAGATCACATTAAACACTACGTGCACAACGAACAGTGCTCGAGTACATGCGCTTGAAAAGTATTGCGCCAATATATAAGTGTTTTTTACGCCGACGAAATTTTTTTTCTGGGTTGCTTCATTGAAAACGAAAAACCTGGAGGCAGATATTCAAAACAGTAAGACCATCGTAGGTTGGATAATGATTCTGTCCGAAACAAATTTGAGGCCACTAGTGCATTATAGAATTATACAGAGATGGCGCTAATATCTTTGGAAGAATTTCAAATGATATTGGGGTAGGCGAGATTCAAACCAAGTCTTAACTTTATTTTTTTCAAATTTAAATTCGCCATTCCACATCCTCTGTAACGCTTGGACCTGTGCTGTAATCTGTGCTTTACTTCAAGCAGATTTGACGGGTATGAATGCGTAATTGTATTTTAGTCTTGCCAGCTGAAAGCAAAAAGAAGATTTGGTCTGATAAGCATTCACCTGCAGTGAAGTAGGCCTTCGTCAAGTTCAGGGTGTATTAGCTTAGCTTTGAGCCGATTGTGATATATACAGATACTGTGTTGTTGCTACAGCAAAGTCGCTACCATACCTCTCACATAGAACGGCAACATTTAATCTTCTTTGCTGAGCATTCGTTGGAGGTAAGATATAAGCGGCTTCAACTCTTTGTGGTGGGGAATACACTTTCGCGTTGCACTTCAAGCGTTTGCATACTATAATAGTGAGGTCGCGCATTAACGAGGCGCTAAGCAAAGCGTACGGATCAGATGCAACATGGATTGTGCCCAGAAGGCTTCGAGATGCAGCAAATATGAGCGTTTTATCAAAGCCTAAGGTTCCACTTTCACCCCACTACTATTTTCTACATGAGATCTGTATTACAGCACTGTCCCCAGAAAAACTCAGCGTAAAGTGATGCCTCACAATGCGGACCTCAAGAATACTAAGCGAGGCACATACAACCTTTTGATAGACCATCCCGGAAAATATAATGCTCGGAGCATGCTATGTGATGGTGGCCCTTCTTGTATGAGTGGATAATCCCATATTTGCACACCTGTGAAATGTCTCAACGGGTCGAGCCCTTGCCGCATGTGGTAACACTTTTGTCCGGCATAATGGTCCCGAAAGAGTGTGTTTAGTTCTGAGTATGAACCAAAGTTGATCTTTCAGAAAGAGACCGATAATAAGATATTATGGTGTGTACGGACCGTGTAAGCAATTGGCTCATTTTGCTGCTGTCATCAGTGATGAGACCTGCGGGGAGTCCTGCCAGACTGTTCCTCAGCAGAGGCGTCTACTAAAATGACATGTTGACAATTAGTATCATAAATATCTAATAGAGATCCGCCGAATACGGCGAATTCTTTGCAAACGATGCTTAAGGCATTCGGCATCGAGTTGGATGTGTCAACCACTGACTATCCGAACCCGAACGGTCCGGCGAACACGTGATTTTGGAAGGTATTCTTCAAAGAGCTTGCGCTGAGAGTCTGAGGCTAGAACGAGTCCTTGCACTCATTGATCATATGTTGAATAACGCAATATATTATTCTAAAGGTGTCACTCTATTCTACATAATCGGTACTCATTTACCCCTTATCATGCCACTTAGTTCTGTAAGAGAATGACTGTAGATCAGGTTTGCTTTTTGATAACATCCTGACTACATTCCGCGGCAAAATCAGTCGTTAAATCTCAACGAGCTTGAGCACTCAGCGCAGAATACCCAAGTCTATGGCTGAGAATCGGAATGTCAAAATGCAATATGCCAATGCCAGAGGCAGGCGATGACATGCGAATTGTTGGCAAAATGTTCGCACTGATTGATATAAACTTCCCACACATGCACTTGTGCGGTCTATATGACTTAGTTGCGATCACGCTATATCGAACCGCTTACATCGTAAAGATCAATAATACTTTCAAGACCCCAAAGATTATGCAAACACATCCAGACTTCTATGTTGGTTATCTTGCTATTGAGTGCCCAACCGAAGCAGCGCTTCTATCATTTCTTGTAGTTTACCTTCTACTCCAAAGCAGCGAGTCGATTTCGAGCCGCTGGAGGAGCCTCATTCTACGCATTGAGTGACTGTTAGAGCTCACATAAGCCAGCCGCGGGACGTTTGACGTCCGCTGGCAGCTGCTCGATGAACAAGGTATGAACCAAGTTCACGTGAAACAGCCTGGATGTACCCACCTGCCTACGTTTGGTAGGTAGGCGGGTACATCCAGGCTGTTTATCGTACCTGTGGAAGGAGAAGAGCTGCCCTCATTGGGGACTCATGGCATTTGGATTGTTACTTTGGCAGCATTGACCATGTGTCGTGGCCATCTACGTCCTGGCGCACCGTTGGCTTGTATCGTCCATTAAGATCAGTCGCTTCTACTTGTTCATGGGGGTCGACCTTTATTTAAGCATTGGTTGGTAGGATCATAGCAGTCTCATGGAGCCGATTGAAGCCTTAAGCGGCAAAACTTGAGGTACTGGTCCTTACGATGAAGTCCCCATTGCACTCAATACTTCTCAGAATCAAGCATCCATATATACTCTAGACGGGCGTCCGCTTTGCTGAAGCTGGCTTGTAAAGCCTTCATTTGGCGATAGCAGCACTTTTCCTTTCCTATTGCGCAGGTTGTTTACGGTACTCTTTTCAGCTTTTGATGATTGGCGGTTTAAAAACAACCCTCGCGAAGCGACATTCCTGTGTTCGCTTTGCTCCGGTATGAGTATAAGCTTCACAAGCATTGAAGCTAAAGAGATACGCCTCGGTACGGCATGCAACTTCATACGGTCTAACCTGTGTTCACGACATGATTTGGGTAACAGTCAACGTGATTTTACTCTGCAGTTGGACTCTTTGGACTGAATTAGCTCTTTGGTGCCGAGACAAATATTTTTAGTGAATTTAGCGGCTGAAAGTTTTACGACACCCCGCTATGGAAAAGGACACGGAGTCCGTTACTCGTGGAAGGGGGGGGTGATCGCAGTAGCGCCTCTTCTTCGAAGCGCCGCTTGGTCATGTTTGAAATGAGATACAATGGTCACCATGAAGCGGCCATTTTTGTGCAGTGTTTTAAAACGACAAAAAGTGTGAGTTTACGCTAAAATGGTGGCAGGTATGGTTACAATATATGTACTGTGATCGCGTGGACGGCCACCTTACAAATTTTGTATAATTGTATTGAATCAATATTGAGCAATTGTACCAAGCTCATATTGCACTTTTATGTGATTCTGAATGTTCAAAAGTACCACGTAAACATATGAGATGACTTACTTATGCAAAAGAGAGGACCGTGGTGCTAGCAGCCCGTAGAAAATGCACATGTAGTATGACTTTAAATATATTCAATTTTAAATTCATCACCATTTTAGTAACAAGCTAAGTAGAAAACTGTTTATCTTTTAGACTCTAAATTTAGGTTTTGCTTTGAGGATACAAGCCAAGCCTCTGTGCGTTTACTAATGCGGGATCTCTGAGTTAAAAAAAAATCTGTGCAAAGTCCACGGCAACCCGGTTGTTGGCGTGGTTGTCAGGAAGCCGTAAATAGAGAAAATGTCAGACACTTACAAGTCAAAAAAAGAAACGCCTGAGAATACGGAATCTGCCGCACATTTCATGATAATGACATTTTGACCCAATTGAGACGTTTAATGAGGAATCCGCCATCAATGATGGCAGCTTCGGTGACAAGCTGCGAAGCGTATCGTAACCCCCCTTCCGCCACGGCCCCGCTTTCAAGATCCAATGGCACCAGTTGCCAGCACGAACATTAAGTGCTTAAAAACAATGCGGTTTCTGCGATGCGTCTCTCGTAGCGGAGCCAAAATAGACAGCATGCAAAATGTTGACACTAACCACGACCATGGCTGCACTCCATTGCGCCTGCGATTTTGACAGTGAAGTCGGAAAGGTGGACTTTGATCATTTCAAACTAGTCTAAAAATATAGACTCACAATAAGAAACCAAATAAGTTTAAAAATAAATATATTATCGATCCAGTTATTTCATTCCGATCTTTCATGTTGTATTTTTACGAGAAATGAGCCATTTCACACGCTGATGTTGGGCAGGGCATGTGAATTATTTGAAAGTGGTTTTTCACCCTAAAATACAAAATATATTATTCGCATTTTGCTAGCTTGCTTACATGCCGACACATACATGTGGAAGTCATATTAGAGATAAATCATTGTCAGTGTCACTTTATATATACTCGCTCTTGCATTTTTGCTCAGATAGCGAGCTACATGGTCTTTAATTGCGATTTTATGAGACTAGACATCTTTAAAGTGTTAATCTTTTGTTCTGTGCACATATCGGCTTCTTCCATGTTGCATTTATAACCTAGATGTCAGTAGTTGATTCGAATGATTCCATGTTAAGGACCTAGCATCAAATCATTAAAGTTAATTTAGAAGATGCTTCTAAGGAATCAGTCATTTGCATATTTAAGCAAAAAGCACTCATGTGGCATCAGCTGTTGTCAGGCTACGCGAAAATACTAGGTGAACTAATTCATACTTGTAAACATATTTAGCATACACCAGCGGAGGTTTGCAGCGGGATGGCCTGCACCTTGCACAGAGAAAGCATGACCTATAAAGCCCGCGTTAACAGCACAAAGAAGTCTTGCTTGTATATTTCACTCAAAAGTAATGCCGATAGCATCTTTAGTGACATGATACAAGACTGGCATATATCTTACATCGAGTCTAATTTTTCTGGCACGTGTATTTTTCTGTGCTTATTATAAAACTGCTTTGTGCTGCACACCATCTGACTGACAGCCCTCGTGTCACAAGAGCCTGAACTTTACGAGTTCGAAAATTCTTCTTCTCCACCATGTACCGCCGAGCTTTGCACAAAAGTGCAATAAGATGGATAATCATAGTACAATGCGCAGCTCATCGCACCACCTTCTCCGAGGATTGGGCTACGCAGTGGTTTTCTTGTATTATGTCCAATTCAAAACGTAAGCGCTTGACAAGCACCCACAACACTTGGAGTTTGTTTCAACGTTTTGAAAATATCTACACCCTTTTCTACACATCAAGAGTCTGACTTAGAGTGTTCCCATGGCCCAATTAGCCCCTGAGAATTGTAATGGGGTTACACGTACCCTTATATGAAGAGGTGGGTCACACAAGATGGTGTGACTATACAAGGGTGTGGGTTACACAAGACGGTGTAATCACACAAGGTTGTGGCTATACTTTAATAAGAAGTCAGTAAGTGGCTGGAACGCCAGTAGTAATGCATTTAATCAGGTTTAACTATCAAATTTGGAGAACCTATAGATTCAGAAATAGGCGGCTTTGCCGAAAATAAACAAAGAAATACAGTTTAAATTTTGAACGGAAGAGTTTTATTTGCCTTGAGATAAGGTTGTGATTACTCTTGGAATCCGCTATACTCATACTGGTTCTAAGTATAGACGAAAGTCACCGACCTTAAACAAGCCTTCTTTAAGTGAACGAGCTACGGCAGTCCCGCTGCAATTGACGATCTCAACGTCAATGTAGGTGAGGGAGCGGAAGTATTTATTTGTATGGACAATAGCGATTATATTTCGAGTCCCGGCCCATCACCCTTAGTCTCACCAAAAGAAAAACGGCAGAGCCTTTTACTGACATAGAAGTCCATTGCAAAAATTGCGTACTTCGTGACCATTCGCAAAGGCAAAAATCATCACGACCGCCACGTAATTCACAACGGCCCACGGATCGTTACCGCCGAGTTGAACTTGTCTCAGCAAGCCACGGCGTCATCAACATCCTCAATTTGTTCTTTGCGCTTCATACCCTCGTAAGGCTACCGAGACGTCACGAGTACTCGCATGAAGGCATCAGAGTGAAGTATCAAGTCAGCAAGACGATTCTGTACCAATTCGTGAGAAAATGTAATATCTGTTGGAGCGGCAGAATCATGTGCTTTTTGTACTCGAGGTCTCCATCCACTCTCGAGGGGTGAAGCGCTTTTGTCAGCAAACGAGGCAAGGGACGATAAGCACTGGTGAAAGGTATAAGTGCTTGCCACTACCGCGAGGCATTGGGTAGCAAAGCGTCCTACGCGTACCCATGGGAATACAAACGATAAGGGCTTTCAGAGCGAGCTCACTCTGGTTATATTTAAATGTCGGCACAAGCTGGACGAGAAATGGTGTACTTACCACTGCATGACATATTCTTTGGCTCTTCATACAGTGTTTCTTTGCTGAATTCAGTGGATCATCTTTAAATGCGGTGGCTGTATTGTCGAAGCAAACGTTGCTGAATAGAAGCATAAAGCATAAAGCATGAAGCCGATCAAGATTGATGCGGTTAATGTTGCCAGCTCGTACTGATGCGGTGAGAACGAGTACGCACCTTTTATACCTTGACTTGGTGGCAGGAGTCATGAAAAATTATGCGTCATCATTAAGATGAGTAAAAATCAGTGCAGGTTGTTTTCCAGATGAGCAAATTTTGGTGAGCTTTCTGAATTTCTACCCGAATACGTATTTGGAATTGTCTATAGTGATGGGTGTGGTCCCATGAAGTCACCAACTCGCAGTAGCAAGAGCGAATGTCAAATTTTATTGACGACAAGACCTTTTTTTTTAAAAATTATCTGCTTTGGAATAAGCCGGTAGTGACCGACAAACTTGTTGGGTTTGTCGCGTCCACATTGATGCAGACAGGCATAGTCGTCGAGAGTCCTAATCGTGCAGCTCTTTACACTTTCGCGCATGCTTCAGCTAAATCACGTTGTCGAGCATATGATCCAAAGGATGTCAAAAAATGTGTACGCGGCATGTTGTTGTATCTAAATTGTCCAAGTCATACTCGGGTGCCGCAATGATGATGGCTAAATTTCTGCGCAATCGCTGCCTCAACTGTGCCATCAGCCAAGACAAGTCGCCACGTGAAGCCTGTACTGATAAGGACTAATTTCTGACGAGTCTTAAGGTGTTCGATCCCCATGGATATGTAAGGCTTTCCAAAGCATAGATTATTCCAGGTAGACCCTTGTGTAGTGAAGTATCATTCATGGGGTTTCGGAGCGCAAAGGCGTATTGTTATGAAGAGATGACAGATCGCCACGTGCCAATGAGACATGACAGGCGCCTGATGATAAACTTCCACTACGAAAATGATAATCCGAATTTCGTGAAAATGAAAATAGTGGCAAGACAATGGAGAATTGAATCGAAACTTGGCAAATTGATTGTGAACACGCATGCAATATACACGATTTTGACGCTGGGAATATACCCGGTCAACGACGTAAGAGGAGACAGTTTTTATTAGATATGGTCGGTATTCCACGAAATCAAGTGCATCATTAACGGTCGCTTATTACAGAGGAGTCAACGATCGCATATAAAAATTGTACCGCGACCTACGCTGTAAACCCGGCGTGAGAGATGCTGACATCGTCCATGTTAACCATGGAATTAAGTGTAGTGATCAGGCGTGCCACTCCAGCGTTAACTCTCTCTAAATAAATTAGATCTGCTCGTTGGTGTCCTTATTTTGATGCTAAATGGCTTAGGTGATCGGCGGGTGCTTCAATTAAAAGGAACCAAGCACGAGATCTTGAATGGATCAAGGTGCGTCTCGTGGCCACCGTCAAAAGCTCGACATCGATTGCTTGTACTGGTAGCCAGGTTTGAACCACTCAGATATGTGCTTATTCTAAAGGTCAAGAATACTACGACGGTAGACCCAATGCAGGTGAAGTTGTGACGACTTCGAGTTTTCAATTGTTCAGTTTTGACATGGAAGTAGAGCAAGACGTTCCTGCTGGGTGAAATTTTGCTCGTCAAATCAAACTGGCGAGGGATGATTTGATAATGTATATTATGGGAGATAAAAATTCTAACAAGACACCTCAACAAACCGCACACAAGGTCACAGAGGCAATGTGCAAAGGGTGTCTTAAACACGGAGAAATAATGATTAAAATGCTGTATTGGAATGCGGTCGGCCGCTTGATCTAAGCGATAGTTGGGACTACACTGAACATCGTTGTTGTAGTATGAATTTTAAGCCGGTTCGCACCGTTCCTGTGCCCTACAAACCGGCTTGAACTGGTGCGCGTATTTTGCGCTATTTAAGGCCCAGTGATTCACCTTGATAAGCTTCAAGCAGCAGTGTCAGCAGGCGCAGATGCACTTGGGCTGGCGAAGTCGAAACTTGGCGAAGTGAAAGATGCTACGCGCCCATGATGAAAACAAGTGAATTATCTGAAAATGCAGGCAGCACACGGTGACACTGCCATTGGTAATGACAGTATATGGCGTGGAGGGGATCTGCTTTAGAAGTAATCTGGCTTAAGTCTTTCCTGTTTGGGCTTGGCACATTAAATGCGAACTCAGAAAATCAAAATCAGCTGCAGCTTTGCACCTAAGTGTTTGATGTAGTCAAGGTGCTGCTGTAGTCACGTTTGGCAAGCGCCATGATAGAGGACCCGATGACCAATTCGATCACCGCGTCGGGCATTGTAAATATTTTCAAGACAAGCAGTGGCAAAAGCTTCCATGTATAGCAAAGTGTTGAAGAGGACATGCCTCAAATACAGTGGCCTCCCGCTTAAGTACGCACCGTTTAAGTACGCATCCCAGATATGTACGCAATTTTTTTTCGGAAAAAACAGTTTCAACTTTAGTCCTTGAACATGTCGTGCAATGTCATTTGCCGGGCATTTTGGATTTTTTGCGTTTGACTTTGATAGTGACCTGTCTGAGTTTCTGTTAAAAGGACTCAAACGAGGTCCTAAGATCATTAAACATGTCTCCTGCTTCTCTATGACCTCAGAGCACAGCAACTGGTCCTCGATCTCAAGTGTAGCTTTATGCAGTTGTTCAAAGCCGTGGATGTGACACATTCTGCAGATGGGTCATTCTGGTGCTGGGTATCACATTCTTCATCATTATCTTCTGTAACTTCCGTCACCGTCAATGTCTTCATCATTCGACGTCTTCCAAAACTGCTTTTGAATACTCTTCGCTGCTTTCATCATCGATGTGCAAAAACTCTTCCAGTTTGCTCCTTTCAATTTGGATATCCAAAGATGCAAAATTGTCGATAATCTCTCCCATAAAATCTTCTTCGTCTTCGTTGCCAGAATCTTCCAACGTCATGATCTCCGCTTTCTTGAATGCATTTCTGATTGATAATGCAGACACAGATTCCCAAGCACGTTGAACATATTGTGCAGCATCTAACAAATGTGCAGGTTTACCGTAAACGACTCCAGCTGATCCACGTGCGAGTCTGGCTGCTTGTTCCTTTTTATGAGCTTTCGAATCATCGTCAAGTTCGTAAAATCCAAGAACATCTTTCAAATACAAATACTCATATCGTTTTTTCATCGCTGCTATAATTCCCATAACGCATGGTTGCTTCCAACTAATGCAGTTTGGAGGAAAGAAAGCGATTTTGACACCATCCCTTTCAAAGGCATCAAAGTGACCTGGCGCGTTGTCCAACAGCAACAAAACACGACGACTAGTTCGCTTTTTCACTTCAAAATAAAAAACGTCGTTAAACCATTTCCAACACGTGTCAACATCTTTGGTTTGATTGAAATACTTCAGAGGCCATTCACGATTTTTGATGCATGCTGGACT